ATTCCTGCTAGAATCACTTTCTTTAATATGCATAGGTTCGCAACAACAATTTCTTCCCTGCTGACTTGATCTTATTATCATCATCGGAGCCACAGGGCATGTCTTTCATAGAGACTGCCAATTTGGATGGAGAAACAAATCTAAAGATACGACAAGCCCATCCTGACACTGCCAGTCTCTTAGATACTGTGGAATTAATGAATTTTCATGCAAATATTCAATGTGAACCACCAAACAGGCATCTGTATGAGTTTCATGGAGTATTGCGGGAAACTAATAAACAGTATGGTCATTTCTCATAAAAATTAGAAAATTTATAGTTGCATATAATGAACAGATGTATTAAATTTTAGATCTGTAGCTTTGGGACCTGATCAAGTATTGCTTCGTGGTGCAATGCTAAGGAATACACGTTGGGTGTTTGGTGTAGTAATCTATACAGGCCATGATACAAAACTTATGCAAAATAATACTACAACTGCACCCTTAAAAAGGTCTACTTTGGACCGACTGACTAATACACAAATACTCATGTTATTCTTTATACTTCTTTTGCTGTGCCTTCTATCTGCAATATTTAATATTCTTTGGACTAAGGCTAATAGTCACGGATTATGGTATTTAGGTTTACAAGGTGAAAAATTAATTTATTTTCTGAATTTTTCTGAACATAATCATAAAATTAAATAAATATTTCATTGTTTCAGAGGAAATGACTAAAAACTTTGCTTTTAATCTTTTAACATTTATTATTTTATTTAATAATTTAATACCCATTTCATTGCAAGTCACATTGGAAGTAGTAAGGTTTGTCCAAGCTACATTTATTAATATGGATATTGAAATGTATCACGCAGAAACAGACACACCAGCAATGGCTCGTACGAGTAATCTTAATGAAGAGCTTGGTATGGTTAATTATGTGTTTACTGATAAAACTGGAACTCTTACAAGAAATGTAATGGAGTATAAACGATGTTCAATTGGTGGCAAATTGTATGAGTAGGTATTTTAAGTAATTTCGTTTACTATGTTTTATCTTAATTTAGTTGTTTTTAATAAAAAAGAAAATAATGTTTTCTAGTTTGCCAAATCCAGATTTAGATGATAATGGAGATGGTAGTAGTATTAATAGTGAGTTAGTTAAAGATATTGTTGAAGGGAGATCAGTACAAGATTCTACTCGTCCAGTTGATAAAAAGGCAGCAAATCACTCAAAAGTAGTACATGAATTTATGATTATGCTTTCAGTATGTCATACTGTTATTCCTGAGAAGATTGATAACACTATAATTTATCATGCTGCATCTCCAGGTAATGTATTTATATTAAATCAAACATATTTTACTTATAGTTTATACTAATACTATTCATAGTTAAATTTCATATGTACTTATCTAAATAGATGAAAGGGCATTAGTAGATGGGGCACGTAAATTTAATTACGTATTCGATACTAGAACACCCGCATATGTGGAAGTAATAGCTCTGGGTGAAAGACTTCGTTATGAAATATTAAATGTAATAGAATTTACTTCAGCTAGGAAAAGAATGTCTGTAATTGTAAAAACACCAGAAGGAAAAATTAAACTTTTTTGCAAAGGAGCTGATTCTGTTATTTATGAAAGATTATGTCCAGTTTCTTTAGAGAACAGTGAGCCCGAACAGAGTAGTTCGGATGATTTTAGAGATATAACTTTAGAACATTTGGAAGCATTTGCATCCGAAGGTTTAAGAACACTTTGTTTTGCTGTTGTTGACATACCTGACAACTTTTATCAGGTACATAGCTTTTATTCTTAATTTATTTATATTTAATTCATTTTTGATAAAATTGTAACATAATAATTTTGCAGTGGTGGCGTGAAACTTATCACAATGCAACAATTAGTATAGGAAATCGTGAAAGCATGATCGAAAATGCAGCGAATCTTATTGAAACAAAATTAAGATTACTAGGGGCAACTGCTATTGAAGATCAATTACAAGATCAAGTATGTGTAATTTTTGTTTTCTAGTGGACGTTTTTAGAGTTGAATGATGATAATTCACAATGTTGTAGGTACCAGAAACAATACAGGCTCTTTTACAAGCTGACATTAATGTATGGGTATTAACTGGAGATAAACAAGAAACTGCTATAAATATTGGATATTCTTGTAGATTGATTACACATGGAATGCCATTGTATATTATTAATGAATCGTCTTTAGATGTAAAAAGAAATTACGAATACAATTTTTTTCCAGTTTGCATTAAAATATGATGTTTAGTGTTAATATTTGTTTACAGAAAACAAGAGAAGTTATAATACAGCGCTGTCTTGATTTTGGAATAGACTTGAAGTGTCAAAATGATGTTGCTCTTATTATAGATGGAAATACATTAGATTATGCATTATCCTGTGATATTAGGATGGATTTTCTGGATTTATGTTCGTCTTGCAAAGTTGTTATTTGTTGTAGAGTTTCTCCAATGCAAAAGGCTGAGGTGATTTTCGTCTTAAATTTAATTTCTTTTCATAATTCTTTAAATTAATTTTTGGCTAAAATAATAATGTAGTAGAGTTTTTCAGGTGGTTGATTTAATTACAAGTAATAAAAAAGCTGTAACACTTGCAATTGGAGATGGTGCAAATGATGTAGCCATGATTCAAAAAGCCCATATTGGAGTTGGTAAGATTTGTTAGTCACAAACCTTATGACAAATAAAAGGCGTGTAATATCGAGTTTTATAATTTCTAGGAATTTCTGGCGTTGAAGGTCTTCAAGCAGCTTGTGCTTCTGATTATTCTATTGCGCAGTTTCGTTTTTTGAAGCGCTTACTATTTGTTCATGGTTCATGGAATTACAGTAGGATGTGCAAATTAATATTATACTCATTCTATAAAAATATTTGTCTATATGTCATTGAACTATGGTTTGCTATTTATTCCGGTTGGTCCGGACAAATCCTTTTTGAGCGATGGTCAATTGGTCTTTATAATGTTGTACGTGATATTTTATATCTTGTTAATGTAATACAATTGCCATATTGTAATATATACAAACTAAACTGTTTATATTAGGTATTTACAGCAGCACCTCCATTGGCTATGGGACTTTTTGATAAAGTATGTTCTGCAGAAACTCATTTAAGTCATCCAGGGTTGTACGCTACAAAAAATACTGGGGAATCATCATTCAACATTAAGGTATTATATCTTCTGTGTTATTTTAATTATATTTGTCACTATATTTGAAATTTTATATGTTGCCAATATTATTTACACAGGTATTTTGGATTTGGATAGCAAATGCTTTAATACATTCGTCTCTTCTTTATTGGTTATCATTAATGGCTTTGAAAGAAGGTGTAGTATGGGCAAACGGTCGAGATGGCGGTTATATTGTTCTAGGAAATTTTGTATACACAGTATGTTTTACTCCTATAATTGTCTTATTGTACTAACAATTATTAATAAAATTACCTTTTGGTAGAAATAATAATTACCTTTTTATTTGTTGGTAGTATGTTGTAGTGACAGTATGTGGAAAAGCAGGGTTGATAACAAACTCCTGGACATGGGTTACTCATCTAGCAACATGGGGATCTATTGTGCTTTGGTTTTTATTTATTTTTATATATAGGTGAGTTCCAAAATATTACATTTTATGTTAAATTTTGTTGCATAAAAGATATTCAAATCATTTTTATGCAATTTCAGTAATTTTTGGCCTGCTTTAAATGTGGGTGCAGTGATGTTGGGTAATGATAGGATGCTGTTTTCTTCACCTGTATTTTGGCTGGGTTTGGTACTTATACCATCAGCAGTACTACTTCTGGATATTACAGTTAAAGCGTGAGTATGCATGGATTAAGTATTTTAGTATGCGAATTAACAATATCTGAAATATTTTTTTTACAGAGTAAAGAATACAGTTTGGAAGTCCGTAACTGCAGCAGCTAGAGAAAATGAGATTCGTAAATCTGACCCCGGGGATATATTCAACAGCCATGATTACAGAAGCTCGTAAGTTTCTACCACATATTTTTGTTATTATAACGTTAAAATTTCGATATAGGACGACGGGAAATATTCTTATTTGATGTAAGGTGCGACCGAATAACATGAACAATCGGGTGGGAGGTGATTTTTTCGTAAAAAAATAAGAAAAAAGAAATTTTTTTCTAAATAATCGAATATAAAAATTTACTTATTTGAATGAAAAATGATTCACTGAGTAATGTATAGTGTCCACCGAGTTTGTAAACAATGCTTACGCAATATTTACAAATTGCTAAACTTCAGAACTATTTTATTTATTGTTAATTACAAAATTGCAAGATTAGATAGATAATTTCAATTATTTTGAAAATTAAGTAGAAAATGTAAAAATTTTATTTATTTTTTTATTAGGGATCACTTCCTACTATCTAGGACTTATGTAATATTTTTGCATATGGGGTTTCAAATATGCATATATCAAGATATAACAGTCTATCTGCATGAAAAATTGGTAGATCAACAAAAATAATTTACTAATGTTTAATATGCATGGCTTATTGAATGTAACATTTTAACAAGTCATTTTCATGATAAAATAATATCAAATTCTTTAAACATTAGTTGTTAAAAATTTCCAGAACTAACGAATCATTTTGATGCATGCTTATTATAATATATAATATAATGTAATCCTACAATTAGTAAAAGGCACAATTTACAATTTGCTTGTGTAGTCCATTTTTTCCAAAGGTCAAATAATCTTCCAATAATTTACAGTATTAAATTTGTTAACAATAATCATATGTTTAACATTCAAAATATCTCAATTGAGTAGAAAAATAAAAATTGCAACAGGAGGTCGAAGTCATATTCGAGGAGGCGATGGTTAATTCGATGTTGGACCTCAGTCTGGTCGCCACGAAGGCGAAATAAGATCAGAATCTTCCCGATTGCGCTTGTAAGGCGCAATCTATGGTTCACTCACCATACAGAGCATGTTTCGTCTGCACCATTATGTTTCCCATATTCCTAAAGATTTTCTACAAATTCCTGCCCACAGTAAAATTTGTAAGCATCCCAATATTTTAAATACCCTTTACTTATCCCAAAGAATCGCTTACTCTTTAATCCAGTACGCGTTTATTACTTTTGTCTCGTGTTATGTATTATATCAAGCACTTATCTCAGATACTGTTGTGATCATCTGTGTAAGATACATTTTTATACAAATAAGACAAACAATGCTTTTCATTTCCTATTTAATAGAAGTAGAGTCATTCTGTAAGTTTAAGCAACATATGCCATTAAAAATGAAGCTGAGTAGAAGTAGTTTATTGAATATATTTCAATTAAATTATATATCATTCGTATCATTAATATTTGCTATCGTATTCACCTATATTTTATTTCATGTTTTCGTTTTTAATTTATTTCAACTAATTTGCAGTATTGGTAACTATATTTTGTATGCGTATAAGATAGCAAAGACTAAGGCTTTTTTGAAAATATTGCGTATATTGTGAACTTTTCATACCTTTTTTCATTCTGTTTTCATTTGTCTCGCACTTTAATACCAATTTGATTCACTAGTAGACATGCAGTGGAATAAGACGTAATCAGAAACGTTGTAAATAATACAAACACGTAGACGTTACCACAGTAAACTAATTCTGTAGTTGTCGATTTACTACCAAAATCCTTGTCAGTATGAAGCAAGTACTTTTGTTTGTTAATGCGGTTTTCTGGTATGTTTTATTCGTGGTATCCTGTGAAGGCCTGTGCATGCCATCGCCGAGCTCACGAGGTGTAAGTACCCCCAGTAGTACATAACTCGTAATGCTCCTGTAATTCTACACTTTCAAACGAAAGCACTGCTAATTAATCAAACTGTATGTTCGGCATTTCGCTTGCAAGAGCACTACGATGCAAATAATTACTGGCACATTTATCACGGTATGAACCTAACAATTTTAACACACTCTTTATATCTAAATCTGTAAAAGGTTGGATGGAAATTAATATAAATCATGGCCTTATGGAAAATATTTTTTACATTTTCTAAATATTTCAATTATCTTTATTGAGACACAACGCATTCAAACTCTTAAGAGTATAACAGTGTCGTAAGTTTCTTCTTGCATCTATTACTTATTTATACAATTATTTTTCATAGATATGCCTTATTGAAGGATACAGTTTGCATCCAAACTTTAATACAGAGCTCTGTGGTGGGAGATTTTAATGGAACATTTAAAGACGTATTATGAACAAACAAATTTGCACTCTAGTACCGCATGAGTCACCCTAAATAAGTACTTATTAGGTAGCCGGACAAGAGAAGGCTACACGCGAAATATATCGTTCATGGAACGTTATTGAGAGGAAAGAATATCGAATTTGAACTATAAGGATGAGGACGACCAATAACCAGACGAGTTTTTCTAAAACAATTTTGAATGCACGGCTTTCCAGATTGACGGAGACGGCGCGGCTACTGAAAAACGTAAAAAGTGTTTTCTCCAGGCGATCAAACGCCGCCTCCAGAGTTAATGTCGAGGTGGAGCTGTCACGTAAGTTATTTTATCTGTCTAACGACGGGCTGCAATCGAGAAAAAAGAAAAAAATATAGAGAAATAAGAAGAATGAGAACCATTAACTTCTGTACAGATTCTTTGTCTTCCTAAGCTCGCCGTTTGGTACTTTCTTTGTAACTTGTTATTAACAAACATATGTATCTATGTAAGAGCACGCGCTTCGTTCTTCACGGCTTCTGCCTATTTAATATACATGTATAGAAAAAAGATTCTTAAAATAAGCAAACTTTCACAATACTCGCACGCGTATACGCCTTAACAATGTACATATGCTATATTATTCTTAGTCTAATGCTATATGTGAGAAAATTTGTATTTCCATTAATTTCCTAATCGTTAGACTAACTCGAACTCGTTTTGTCTGGAAAGTTTCAACTTCTCGAAGTGATAGAGAATGTAGCTTACAGTCTAGTAGTTATACTTTAAAATCGATTACAGTAAATAACTAACTCTCTCCTTGTAGATAGTGCATGTGTGTTAATAGATTAATGTTGTAATAACAGATACTAATCGGTTGCGCTCTTTATTGTTGCACATGCTGCGTGATGCAGATGGATTTGCGTTCTCTCAAGAGGAAGGAGGCTCGGTGACACAAACGGACGTGATCAGAGCTTACGATACAAATCTTCCGAAACCTGGCGGCATGTGATCTTAATTCTTCTAGCTAGAAAAACTACACAGATGTATATTCTATATATAGATACTTTTTTCGACTAACGAAACTATGTAAAAGAAAGAAAAATCAAAAAAAAAGAAAAAAAAATGGAAAAAATAAGAAGAAAAAGGAAAAGAAGAGAGGAAAGAAGGGAGGTAAAGTTCTTCTGGGAATTTTGGTACTCGCCAAGCCCTACGTAACGCCTGTCGAACGTGTTTCATGACTGATTCGATCTTTCGGTTGTACTTTCCTCGGGAAAGGAAGATCTGGATGATGGGCCTTGTAACAAATAGTATTAGAAAGACTATCAAACGACAATTCTAAGGACAAAGTATTCCTTCTTTGAAATCATTAAGGTTACTCGCGACTAAAAAAGGAAACAAAGAGAAACTCTAACGATACCCTAGATAATTGTTTTTGATACTCTGTGAGATTTATTATATTTATTATATACCTCGAACCTCGTCACGTGAAAGCTCGCACTTCTGATAATCATCATAACGACTATCGTTGCTGTCTTGTGCATTTAGATGCAGTGCATTTCCAAAAGCATTTTGTGTAAGTTTGGAATTTCGTAAGAATCAGTACGCACCACCGAATCCCTTGGATCTATGTTTCATTTCCGTAGTTTAACGGGGACGCAATTTCGTTTTATCGAATTCAATGATCTTGAGAATCGAACGACAAATGAAAAGATTCGTTTGTGTGACCGGCGATACGTAAGGCGATATAGAATTCAACTTTCGACCGCGAACACAAACATTACCTATATTCTAAATATGTCTTATCAAAAAACGTAAAAGAAAGTATCGGTATGATTATTATTCGAGTATATCGTTATCGAGTAAGAGACAAATTAGCGCTCTGTTGATTGTCGCGATTTTAGACGTTAAAAGAATATTGTTCTCAACTGATTCTAAGTTATTCGATTGTATCGTTTTGTCCTTTTCTATTTAATTTTAATTTACGTTGACTGCATATTTTACGATTGTACATACGATAGTTGCATCGTTATCTAGTCAAAGAATTTGATGTAGATATTTTACGTTCAGAGATTTACTCTTCCGGCCATCATGAACGCTCTTTGTTAAGTTTACGACTGAATAAATCTTAAATAAAGAAACGATATGTGCACATGTATAGCAACAATTTTGTGTACATTATGTTCAGATTATATATATATATATAACATATACATACCTATATTCGGAATAAAAAAGGATGATGAAGAAAGCTATTTATCTTGTTGCAATTGTTCAGTGAGTATTTGTAAGAATTGTTAGAGAATTGTTTGAAGAACCGGTTCGAATTATATAAACGGATCTGAAATTTTTATTAAAATGATATATAAGTATGTAAGTACAAAGCACATGTAGATACAATATCTCAGCAAGCGATTGATGTATATAAAATGTATATATCTCTATACATATATAAATTTACTTAATTTCTACAATTCTTTTATGTTTACTTTACTTTCTCCGATGTTCTTCTTCTTCTTCGTTTTATTTAAACTGTCGTTATATTGTAGAATACAACATGCCCCTGATCGACGATGACGAGATTAATCATGCCGATGAATTCTCCGAGGAGCGCATAAATTGCGTTGCAAACTCCGTCCACTCTTATGGAAGACTTAACAATTATCACTGTTCATGATGTTTCTGTGTACTTTTTTTTTTAACACGTTCACGATTCTACCTCGGCGATCTAGTGAGTACTCGAGTGATAATAATCATTTAAAGACTCATTTTCTTATTCCTCTTCCTTTCTTATCACTGACAATAAACTGTCAAACATTTTTAAACGTTTTCTGTTCAAGTTATCATCGAGGGTTCCACTTTCAAACTGATGAGAAAGTTTTCCCGATCCTCCCTGTACCGAGTCTTCAATAAGAATTCCTTGGTGAACGAGTGCACGGGAAACTCGTATCCTTGAGCCCGTTTCTGACAATCCGTCAACCAGCTCACGACCTCGAGGACGTGTTTCATCCTTGGATCCATATCCCTCAACCTTTCCTGCTCTTTGCGGAGAACCTTGCTCTTTAAGATAGCGTTGTACCAACGATAAAAATATTTCCACGCCAAGTCCTGTTCCCTCACCGTCCACGTTGAGTCCGTTTTCTCCTCGTAAATTGTTTTCCTATCTGTGTTCCTTTTGAATTTTATCCTGGTTAAGACAGAAGTAAGAATACCTTTACTAGAACTTTGATTTTGTCCTAAGTTTTCATTATCTTTCAGTGACATATCCTTCTTTATGTTAATAGACTCTGCAGTTAAACCCTTCGTACGCTTTGGTTTATCATTCGTACGGATATCATTGCTTTGTCGAGGGTGTTCCGGATAATTTAGACTCAAAAGTCTCAGCAAAAGGTCAGCCACGTGTGGTATACAAGAGGAACTCCTTTCAACTTTAGTCCAAGCACGTTGATACCCCAAAGTACACGGACTTTTGTATACCTTGCAGAGTTTTTCCATGACTTCGTATCTAAACGACCAGGAGAATTAATGGGATATACATAAAGTCTTCGCAACAAAACGTACAAGGTATTAGTACCTATTAGCATGGTGAATACGCAGGTAGTCCCAGGTATTCCGCAGCCTGAAAATCGGAGGCACCTGCAAACCTGACAAGATCGATCTGCACGAATGAAAGTTCCCCATGGCGAAGCACTTTCTGGCCGCGTTTATGAGTCTCGCGATAATTCTACTCCTCATGGCTAATCTTTTTATGGACAAAATTTCGCTCGCAATTAGACAAGAAACTCGATGGCTGAATGCTATCCACGCTGCCAAATTAGGCGCGTTTCTGGAGCTCCTCTGAAAGACCAGAATCTCGATCTCCTCTGCAGGAATTCGGGCGAAGAGATCGCGATCGATGAGCGTCAGCTGCATCGCCAGGATATTACTGTTTATGTCCCAGATCGTTATCCTGAAATCCATTCTCAACAATCTCCTCAACTGAAGAGTTGTACTGTTCTCCTGGTTTTCGAATTTCTTTTTTTTCTTGCAAGATCTGTTCGCAGAAAAGATTCGTTCTAAAAAGCTAGGTTTCTCCTCGGGAGCGATGATAGAATCTTCTTCGCATTGGCACCTTTTTCTTCTGGAGAACAGCTTTCGTTTAGTCGGTTGTTCCTTCTCTTGACGGAAGTTCCTCAGATGGTTCAAGTGTCGCCTCAGCTCCCTGTCACGATAGAAGCGATAAGATCAATTGACTGCAATCGTGCTTTCTTTTGTTAGTACCTGTATGCGGCGCAAGCAGGTCTGGGTCTATACCAGTATTCCGGTGTCCAGAATAACACGAGTCGTCCTTTCGCAGTGGTTCCGATCGACCCAAACCTACCTGATTGGAGGGCAGTGTAGGAAATACTAGCAGACAATTGTCGACGCGAAACAGGAAGTTTCAGCTCGGAATCGGTAGGCTGACGACGAATAGTAACCAAACTGAAGGATCTTCGACCTCGAAAAGTGTTTCGTTCTCCAGGCTGCACCGACCAGGGACCAAGGGCGTACAGGAAATGTGGCGCTGTGCACAGACCGTATCTCCTGAAGTGTCTGGAGTGTCTCGTAGACTTGCTTCGACCTTTGCCTTTGCCTTCCCAAATTTTCACACCGTTCTCCATGAGGACGTAAAAGTTCTGCACGTGTTTAGTACTCGGCTTTAGAGGAAAGCAATCGCGTTCGCTGTGAATTGGACCGAGGACCAGGCCCGAATGGCACTTTTCCGGCACCCCAAATCCGAATCGAGATATTCTTCGCGTTAGACATTTCTTAGGATTTCTCGACTCATCGTGAGATTCCTTTTTCGCTAAGGTTTCATCCAACGTATCTTCCTTGTACCATACGTTCCGTTTCTCGCTGACTCTATCCTCGAAGATCTTGGCTTGCAAATGATTGCGAGGGCAAGTTTGACAGGTTGCGTAGAACTTGCTCGTATTGTAGTATTTGCAATTGTGGCCTCTGATGAAGAGTACGTCGCAGAGGCCATTGTTCTTGTGCTTGTCTTTGAAACAGCGACACGTAGGCCAGCTACGACTGCCTTTCTCGATCCTGTTCGGAGAGAAGTCTTGCAGTTCGGCCTTGATCTCTTTCAAGCTGGCACCAGCGAATCTTATAGGAATCGGGGTGTATCGACCGTCCACTAACTCGCTGTACGATGGTCCAAGGTATAAGTCCTTTTGACGCCATGTTGGTGGTGCATAATCGCCGGCTCCTCCATAGTGTGTCCATATTCTGTATCCAATTACAAGCATGTTACGAGAAGAACCGTAGATCGTAGATAAATATAGATAAACATCGGATAGCAAAAGATCGTATCACCTGCACACTGCTCTCTTCCCATTCTTCTTAGGATCCTTTCTAATCTCGATTTCCGAGGAAAGAACGTACAATGTAGAACTGCTGGATGAACTTGCAGCGGTTGTTTCCGACAACGAGCTTCCGTTCATCCTACTCGCGAGTAAACTTTCCACCTGCTCGCACCATTTCTTCCAAAAAACGTTTCTCCCGTGTAGACCGCCTAGCTCGTAATAGCTTACTCTTCCATCGATAAATCTAACGATATTACCACTGGTCAAGGCGGTGTTTAATTACGTTAGTCAGAAAACTAGTGAAAGTTGTGAAAGCAGTCGCTTCACATCCAACAGTTTTATGTCTTTCTTTTATAGCCAGTGTCTACCTTGCCTTCAAGGTTTTGCGATGTCTTCTGTTGAACACGCTCAGGTTAACGCATCGCAAAGGATACAGGGAGATTAGCTCGAAGCTCTCGATGCTAGGATCAAGAGCACGTGGACAGAAGAACTCCGGGTTTCGTTTCAACACGTCGGCAGCCACGATTAGCTTGGACGGCGTGAGGCCAAGGCAAACTTGTCGAATTCCACGTCCGTTTCTGCTGGTTTCGGCAAACGGAGATTCCACGAGGACCACATCGACGAAGTCAGAATACTCGGAAGCCAATAATTTTTGGATTCTGTTTTCCCGTATCTCGCAGTTCCTCGTCCGACGACGAGGAGGTTTGGTTTTACGCGTCGGGTGCATGGCCAGGAATTTTTATTTAGAAAAATACGCGAAGGATTAGTCGAATGAATCATTTATAAGGATCAGCGAGACTGGTGAATTTTTTGAGAGAACGATCACTCGCGACAGGTTAATTTCTTCTGAACGAATCTGCGATCAACGTGTAGCTCTGTCAAGGAGCGTTTGTATGTTGGAGAATTTCGGTAAATCAGAATCCGCAGCTTGAAGTTGTAGAAAAGTGAAGTTAATCGCGATGCGATTAACGTTAGAATAGGCGATATTAGTTCCACTAGCTTTTATGAATTTCACGCTTTAACGGGATTACTTAACGAGGGAAGAAAGTGAAGAAACGATCTAGTTCCATTAGGTATCATCGTTTTTATTTTTCAGTTCGATGCCTCCATCGAGTCTCACGACCTGTACATAGTCGGCGACGGAGGGGACTAAGTTTCTTTTAAAGACTCGGGCCTACGTGGTAAAAAGTGTCGCAGCGCCTGTCATTTCGGTTAATTAAGGATTCTTTAGCCTTTTTTTACTTCTTACTCGCTATAATACGATAATAAATAACATATAAAAAAAGACGTACAGGTAAAAGACGTAAAAAAGAAGCTCACCAATAGGGGGAGCGCTCTTTCATCTAGAATAAAATGTCGATGTAAGTTTAAAGAGCGTGCAAAAATGTACAAAGTGGCAGAGGTACATGGTGGACTCCTAAAACGGTTCGTTTCGACTTATTCTTTTTTTTCTTTTTTTCTTTTTTACTTTGTTTTATAGACGAAAGCTAGCTTTTTATCGATTATTATGTTCCGGGTTCACTTTGATGGTGACTTTGTTGCTCAGAGCGGTCGCGAGCTTCTCGACGTTGCTCTGAGCCAACTTTCCGGGCTCCGGGTTCGTTGTCTCGTTGTTGGACACTGCTGTGTTTTCGGGGATCGGTTTAATGGTTGGCTGCGTTTCCTGAAACAAGAGAACACGGTCGTGAATTTCGTTACATCTCCAATCATTTCCTCCGGCTACACGTTTCGCGTTCTTCAGCGACGAACGTGTATAATCAACCCAATTATGTACCCGATTCACTTCTCGAGCTTCTCGTTTATAAAGTCAAAAGACGAAAGCAACTCACCCCGTCAGTCTTTCTTCTTAGGTTAGATCTTTGTAGCGTAGCAGCAAGTTCGTTCTGCAATCTCGAGACCACTGGTCCGTTCGCCAGTTCATCCGTGCCGTTCCTATCCGATCGAGACTGTTGCGACAGGAAGTCGAGCTTAGACGGCTGTTTAGCCTCTCCTTCGTAAGCGCCTATCCTGATGGCCACCTTTCCCGTGGTTGGTTTCAAGTTCTGAGCGTTCGCAGGCGCCGGGAACGCGGCTGTTTTCGGGGTTTCCAGCACGGGGCTCGGCGAGGACTCTTTGCCGTTCATCTGCGGCTTGTTTGCGGTCCCGTGTCGGGGACTTCCGTTCGACGTGGTCGTGGAGTTCTGTATAGGGAAGTAGGTTGGCGGGGGCTTTGGGATAACTGGGTTCGGTGTCTCTTTCAGCTTGAAAGACTCTATGCTCTGCATCTCCACGGAGTCCTCGCTGCTCTTGGTCTTGGTGAGGAGCGGAAGTGGCGGTGGTGCCGGCGGCGCTGGCGGTGCTGGTGGCGCCGGTGGTACCGGGGGCGCTGGCGGGATGACCGGTGCCGTCGACGTGTTCAGTACCCTCTTCTCTTGCTCCTGGTGACAGTTTAACGAGGATGAGACAACCTTAGTAAACCGTGACGAGACTCGATAATTTGTAGAGCAGAAAAAGGTCGCGAGATAGAACGCGTTTATCTTCGAACATAGTACCGTTGCGGCTAGTATCTCTAAGGTCATTTGGAAATTGATTTTAACATCGATCGTAAAACACGGACACGTCTGGTTATCTCCGTACGGGTGTACGAATATAGGAAAAAGCGTTCCGGAGATGCAAATGCAATGCTAATCGGTGAGATAAATTCGATAACTAACGTCGTAAGGCGTAATGGTAACCAGCACGCGACTCTTCCGTTCACCGTTGCTCAGCAAACCGTTCATGTCTTCGGTTTCAAAAGCCTAGCATTTTTCCTTCGATTAACTTTCCTTCGCTAGCAGCAACAGCAGCAGCCGCGCATAACGGTTCAATTTCAAGCGTCTTTTTGTAAATCACTTCCGACTCGTTAGCGAACAGCCTTTAAGGAGAACACTCGCGGTGTAGGTGCTCGAGGCCGCGACGAGGATTCTACGCTGGCCGCCACTTTTCTTCGCCGTTCTTCGCCGTTCTTCGCCGTTCTTCGCCGCCAATTTTCCCGAATTACCACTAATTCCACCGATTACCGCCACACGAACCGCGCGTCCCCGCGTAATCGCTTTTTCGTTAATCGCCGAGCGTAGCGGAGTTTCGCGCGGTGTTCCGCCACCTTGAAACCGATCGCTCGACTCGAGCCGACTGGAAACCGTCACGAACTTTACTCGCGGTCTTATGTAAGCTCTATTATTTTGCACGTCTGCCGCAATTCGTAAGAAGTCAACCGACACCGCTCGACCAGGCTGGGAAAACCTTGCAACAGGCGATGAGTCTCGCGTCCACCTGCGTCGCCGTTCGAACGAACCGGGCTCCGACGATCGACTGTTCCCCGATCGGCTCAGCCGTCCGTTTAACAGCGTGGATCGCGCGGCGATAAGTCGATTATGTAATGACTCATCGAATCGGCTGCGATTTCCAGCGATTCGCGTGTTCCACGAGATCGTCGAACCTCGCCAGGCAGAAGTAATTCAATGGACTTTTTCCACGCGAATCTCCGATCGGTCGATTAGCAGATCGTTAATTAACGGAATCGATCGAGCGAACGCGGTCGATTTAGAAAGCACTGGATATAACGAGTATCGCGTGTATGGGCGATTTTATAGGCAATCAGCTGTCGGACTTAATTAGTAAACCGCGATTCAATTAAGGGCGTGATTTAGTGTTTTCCACCCGCAACACCGGCACCGATCCGAGCTTCGCGTCGCGCGGCAGATTCAGCCGTACTGAGACGGTACCGCGGGACTTACGTGACTATAAGAGAGGCAGATCGCTCTCAATCTCGCCGGTTCGAACGATACGCGCGTGTATAACAGTTAATAAACGCGGCTCGTACATAAATTCAGGTGCAGCTGAGCGTATTGCGCTCTGCACACGCACGTACACACGCGTTCGCGTTCGGTTCGCGTTCAGTTCGCGTTCAGTTCCTTTCCAGACAATGACTGGCCCCGAAGTATATTCGTCGGCACTTGTTATCTATTTACTCTGGCAGATCTTCGGCAACGGTTGTGTAATTAAAGCGACGCAAGAACACGGTCTAGCGTATCGTCGAGAGCAACTCGAAGGATGCCTCGAACCGCGTTATTTACTTTGTTTCGCGTATTTTCCGCGGCCCTCTCTCCCTCCGCCACTCTTTTCCCTTGCCGTTCTTTTTATATCAATATTTAATCTCCGGCGCCGTTGCCAGGCAGCGCGGGCTCGCCCGAGATACGTTTCCATCGCCGATTCAATTCCGAGTGTTGCTAATAGGATTTTTAATTAACCGCTTACGTATCCTTAGTTCCGCTTTTTCTCCGATACGCGCCTGCATCGCGCTCTCCCTGGCTTTGATTAGTCCGCGGTCGCGCCCGAGGAATTTTATCCTCCGCTCGAGATCTCGCGGTAATCAGAGGCTGTAACGTCTTCGCCGTCTTCGAAGAAAGGAAACGGTGAAAGTATCTAAACGTCGGAACTACGCGCATTACGCGTACAATTATAACGCATTCGGAAAAATCAGATACCCTTCTCTATCTTTAACGCCTCTTCGTCTCTCCTTTTACATCTTTTAATTTATACCCTTCGTTCATTTCTCTCACAGATACGTATCTCTCTTTTATTTTCCTCATTTTTTCTCCCTGCTCTCGTGTAATTAATCCTCTAATAACAGTGGCTGTGCCAACGCCGTTTCAATTTCGCATGAAATTTCATTTACCCGCGCTAACGCAGTTCTACTTTACCCACTGAGCCTGCGCCAAACCGTGTACGTTCGGATTTTCTAAAATACCCATTTTTTTAACTTCGATGGCGGTTCTTTGTCGATTGTACGATAACTATACGGTATTTGGAGACTTTTTAACCAAGATTATCCAATGCCGTGTATCGCGTATAACCTAACTTGTGAAATATCAACTTTGCAATTTTGAATTACCCGCGATACTTTACCGATCGTCGATAACACGAGATTCGGGGAATCCTGGGCGAATTTTTCAAAATAATACGATCTTAAGGAACCAAAAGGAGTTGATAATCAGGAAAAATTCGCGGATGCGGATAATTCGTGATATTTCTACGAACTATGCGCCAGCTATCGCGAAAACGAGAAGAGTCACGTTCGCGAATGAAATACCACGAATCTTCCCGATGAAGCGAAGAAAGAATCACGTATTCGAACGTATTCGAGTATGCCATAGATCACCTTCGTTTGCCATAGAGATAAGGTTATCACTTTCTTACCTGCTCCGGCGTCTGATCGGAGAAATGGACTTTCTGCTGCGCGGTGTTGAACATCTTTCGATGAGCACGTTTGAACTCCTCCATCAGCTGCAAAGAATTCGGTGCGTATTTTATCGTCTCCCTTGATTAATCTTCGTTATTAACGTTACAGTGCAGAAAAGAGACCTAATCGAGAGATAATCGAGAGCGAATCAGCGAGGATGTAGCAGGCTGCGACCCGCTCTGTCCGCGTCCGCTCGCAAACTGAACCAGCGAGCGAGCAAGAGCGATCAGCGCGCCTGTGAATCGTCGCTTGAACGTTCATCTACGAAAGTTCGATCGTTTGCAACATGTAATTTTTAATTAGACAGGCTCTCTACTCGTTATTACCATACAGCTTTTCAGCATCCGCGCGAGTTTTAATTACGCTTTTCGCTCTCTATGCGTCCATTAGCGCGCGTTTCACTCGCATCGATCGAGAGAAACACGCGGTGGCAGATCGTTCGCCACTCTCGATTAGATCAGAATCGATCCGCTGTTAGATCGATCGGACAGGCGATTGGCTGTTCGCGATTTCGAGCCTCAGAATGCCCGATGTGAATGAACTCCTGGCACGTTAGGTACAACTGACAAGCGTTAGGATGCCGCGGAAGGGATCGAGTGGGTGTTCGTGATACGAGAATCAGGTTCTCACACGGGGCAGGGGAACGCGTGATACGAATGCTTAACGTATGAGTAGAGCGTTATGAATGCACCGGAATCGAGGAGTTTGGAGTTTGAGTTAAAGTTCAAGAGTCACGGGATAGTGAGCGTGGAATATAACCCAGCGGATTTTTCGCGTGTCGTCAGGTAGAATCGGTTCGAGCGATATAACGTGATTGTAAATTATTCTTTTTCGTCGCATTTAGCTACTCAAGGTGGGCTACTCCTGATTAGATAGCGCGATGACATCCTCGAAGTCAGTGGTAATTGAGACCATGAAATTTATACAATAATTCTAGATATTCAAGCGTACTATGACCGGCCAAATGACTGGCAAATGAAGAAATGAAATACGAAAAACTTTGGAAAAATGGAACACGAGGAGATATTGGAAAATTGATTATACTTATATTAAAAGAACTATCGCAAAGTCAAGTGACCACAGGGACAACGTTGAGTATCTTTCAAAAATTTTGATGACACAAAATACGTTTCATACTTAGCGACTGACTGTGTCCAAAATTATTGGTTGTCAGAAAGCACAGGATAAAACTATCATTTATATTTTACAAAAGCATGAAATAATACATAAATTTTAGTCGTATATCAAAAGACAATTAACATTTTTAACATAATTTTCCAGAATCATCTCGTCCACGAAGAGTTAAGCTCGTACGACACTAATCGACATTCAAATCCCTTTAATTCCAAAGTCGAAAAACCAGCATGTATTTTAGCCGCTATTAATCTTACGAATATGTCATATCGTTCGTACCAATTTCGACGACTCGCGCTACAAGTAGATTCGATAAAAGTCAGTGAAACAACAGTGAAACTGGCTTATCGCGGTGTACATAGTAGCACAAATATCAACTACCTTATCATGAGTAACCTTCTGCTCCTGTGCCCTCAGAGCTTCCGGATTTTGCGACTTCCGGGACTCCAGAGTCTTCTCCTTTCCCGCTTCCATTTTGGCTGCGTTGTTCATGTTCCTCTGAAAGGGACCAGTGCAGATGGGCATAGATATATCATCGGTAGTGCGTTATCTCCTGATGCAATGGTCAACTTAATCACAATTACCATGAGAAACATTGATCGCTGACTCAGATACGATCACCGATAAGCCTCGAATCTCGACAGGACTTCTGGGTCTCGCGTAGCTCGGTCGTAAGTATGCATCATTTTTCGTTAAAACGATGAATGAAAACTTTCTTACTATCAGTGTCGTATAGAACTATGTGCTCTAAGAAAGCGTTATCTTTTTAGCGAAACATTATCTCGGGGCTGACGCACGAGCTACCAGCGAGAGAGAGAGAGAGAGACATTATCCCGGAGGACGACTTTGTTTCCGCGTCGCGATCTTTGTTGATAATTTAATCTTCAATTTTCCGGAATCGACACGCCACGCGAGGAATCGATTTCAAGAAAAACACGTCGCGTGTGCATAGAACGACTCACTGAAATAGCAACACTCGATGCAGAGCTCGAGAGAAACAAGTCTCGCGGCGTCTGGCAGGCGCCACTGGAGCCGCAGCTGCTCGAGAGATGCTCGCAGGAGATCGGAGAACCTCCGAGGAGAATCGATGGACCGTGGTGAAAAATCGGAATTCCGGTAACGCGTCCGGTAATGCGCATAAACAAGCGGGTAACGCGATCCAAGCGGTGTATTATTTCGTTTCTGTCCTACCTGCTGCGCCCGCCTCTGCAATTCCTGCGTGATGGCGGAGCTGAGATCAGTGCAGGCGATCGGCGACGTCCTTGTGGCGCAATTGCGGGACGTTGCGTGTGCGGTGACCGTGGTGTCGTTGGTTTTATTGGTCCCGGTGGAGGCGGCAGTGATGGATCCGAAGGAGACGGTGGATCGTGGATCGCAGGACGACGTGGACAACGAGGACGACGTCGAGGCCGAATCCTTGCTGCAGGAAGACTCGAGGCTCGACTCGGTTTCCGTCGAGCCTGTGCTGCCCATGGACATCGTGCTACCCATTTGCATGCCCTTCGCATTCATTGGCTTCGTGTCTGCGAGCATCGAAATACATTTGCGTTAGTTTACATTGCGTAAGGTATCGGGTCAAACACGAGTATCACGGGCGAGAAACGTGGTGCGTAATAGAGCTGAACGTAAACACCACCGGTCAAGTTCGTGGTTCATTTTCGTCGTCTTTCTGTTTCAGTTACGTGTTATTCCCCGACGTGTTCGGACGAGATACCTCGACGTGTGACCGGTCTTGCCGCTGACTATACCACGCTACGTGGTGCGTAATAGAGCTGAACGTAAACACCACCGGTCAAGTTCGTGGTTCATTTTCGTCGTTTTTCTGTTTCAGTTACGTGTTATTCCCCGACGTGTTCGAACGAGATACCTCGACGTGTGACCGGTCTTGCCGCTGACTATACCACGCCACATCGCAACTTAAATAGTAAGGTAAGGGCTTAAACGTAGTATACTTAGATAATAGTAAATCTAAGTAATAGTATGCTTGGATAATAGTAAGCGCGATGGACATAAATAGGTGTACGTGTTAGTTGGGTATGTTTTCAGGCGAGTTTTGGATCGTCAAGTTGGATAGTTTGATATTGGAAGTATCTACAGGCAAACATGAGCATAATATGAGAGCCATGGTTCTTAGACTGGGCTCAAAGTGAACATCACCGGTCAAGTTCGTAGTTCATTTTCGTCGATGTCTTTCTGACTCGGTTACGTGTTATTCTTCGACGTGTTGAGACCAGATTCCTCGACGTATGACCGACCTTGCGCACCATGGGAACTTGAATGGTAAGGCAAGGGGTTAAGAATGTACTGTCGGGGATTACGATGGATTTTAATAATTCAGGATATCGTTTCCTCCTTTTGCAGCCGGCTAGTGTTTAAAGCCGCACTCGTGGCCGCTAATCGGTTAATTTATCGCGCGATGGTAGCTCTCGGGGATTGGCTTTTCGATTTTTCCGACGAACCTGCGGACCATTTGTACGGCAGTGGTGGCGGTGGTGCTGGCGGACATACTGTTTGGTGAATCTCCACGGTCGTTATCGTCTTCCTGTCTTCCTCTTGCGTGCCATTTTCCTGCGATAAAAGTTTCCACGTGTTATTTCTCAGACTACTCTTTGGGACTTAGGATAGTGGTTGCTGCAGGATCGTTTTTCTTTTTTCTAGACGAATACCGGTCCTCGCGCTGATTCGTTTGAATAATCGAGGTGCTAGCGAGGAATCTCACGGATATTATAGAAAGTACTCCTTTAATATCGAGCGTTAATCATCGAGTATGTATTTGTAAAGAATGATAACTCACTTTGGATGCATGATAGGGCGGTATGTCGTCGGCTGGGCCGTCGTAAATGACGTCCTGCTGCCGAATGTTATCTCTCCGATAAGCCAGGCGTCGATTCGCCTCGTCTCTCGGATTGGCGTCAAAGTCGTGAACTTGATAGTCGATTCTTGGCGCCACTGGGTCGTACAGAGGCTCGTTGTCGATTTCATCCTCGTAATTGCCACGGGAGTTCGGGCGACCCGGTGTGCCGATGAACCTGTGGTTTTGGTTCTGACTCTGATTGATACGGATCACCGTAGTGTTATTTGGTTTACGAGTCCACTCCTGAGCCTGTGAACCGATTAATTACCATTCCTTAGTACCCGTGACTCTGTACGATGCTACAGTGGCTAAGACATGTTGCCAAAAGGTTGCTACCTGATCCATGTGAGCCCATTCCGTGGAGCTGCAACTGCTAGTGGACAGAGCAAGTGGGCAGCAGATTCTGAAATACCGACGGACACGTGTTACCGATGATTTTTGCATGGAAGGGTACTTTCTAATTCCAATTAAAGGACGTCGCGAGGAAGCACGGACTAAGGCAGCGAGGTTAAGAACAGGATGAACGTTTATGTGGCAGCGAGGAATTCGTCGTGCTCCCCGGCACCGTGATCGTTATCAACGAACGTCCTATTAATAGACCGACTTTCTCCCGGTGTAAATTCGTCGATGCCACGTGATAACGGCCGGTAACGAGAGAGATACGTATCCAGTGCCATAAACCGCGCAAACGATATACCTTGGCCGATCGCGAGCGGGGAACCGTTTAGCTGGTCCTTGTTAATTGTAATTGCGCACAATGGTCCCGAGTACGTAGTAACCGTGTCACAACATGGTCGTTTAACGTTACGTCAGATTTATGCGTCCGATTTATGCAGACTAATTGCAGGCTCTTTCGGAATGACGAGGAGGCACGTATTTATCTCTCGCCGGACGAGAAAGTGAAAGAAATTTCTGCACTTTGACCGCCTTAACCGGTCAATTATCCAGCCTTCGACGAATAAATTTGTCTCCCCTCGTTACCAACCTTCCATTTCGGTTGCAGGCATCGTCGCGGGGATATCGGTGGTGCATCCTGGGGTCGTGATAATGCTGCGGCGAATAGGAAGGATTCTGAGGCTGCGGACTGGCTGCAGCCACACTCGATGTCTCAGAGTCGTAACCACTCGAGCCTCGGGTCCATAGTGGTTCGGGGCAGTCGTAAAGGTGATTCGGCGTGGGTCGTTGCACTATTAGGTCGAGAACGGCTGAGCTTCTCATTACGTCGATGGCTCTCTCGAACGGAAGATCGGTGAGCCGCTGACCGTTGCACCAAATTATAACGTCGCCGGCTTTCAAGCCCGCTGCTCTGGCCGGGCCGTCGTCTCTGGTACCCTAAACGAAATTCGTCCCATTAATTCTCGATTCTGTTACGCGACATCGGTCTAGTCTACGCTATAATTCCGTCGAATCGCCGCGGATTTATCAGCCTCGCGGCGATCGATGACACAAGTGGATCAACGGTACGACGAGGAATCGATCGGAATTATACGCGGAACAGTTACGAAATTTGCTATTAAATGTCAGCGAAACTATGGTTAACCTGAACAGTGAGGCCTGGCACGATGCCTCTGCAAACGCCACACCCGAGGCGACCCTTCTCGCCGACGAGAATTCGAATCCTGACTTCGGTGCTCGGAACGGCGCCCAAACCAGTTTCGTTGTACTGTAGCTGCTGCTGTTGCTGCTGCACCATGTGCCAAGTGACCGGATCGTTCGGGTTGCTTTGCGAATCATAAAGTACTTTTATAACGAGCAAACGCTCCGCGAACGGACGCGAGTGCCTCGCGGAATTTTTAACGCGCGATCGGTACTTACTCTTTCACAGGAATCATTCCCACGCCTGAAACAATAAATCACGAGCCATCAATACGCGTTGCTTTCGTAAATCCTGTCATCGAAAGGATTGACCCATTAACCGGCGATTCTGCAACATTATATTCAGGAATACGGAATTTCTACTACTGCCATTAATTTTATATTTTCGCTCAATTATACAAGAGCGTGCAATTTATTTTCCATATTAATGAAACCATTTTCTACTAGAAGGCGTTATTCTTTAAAAATCAATTGGATTCTTGGTCTTTCTTTTTTCCTCGATACGAATAGATACGAGTGAAGGAGGATCTAGAGATACGGCAAATAAGACGGCGGTAAACAATAAATGATTCATCGTCCATTTACGCGCGTTGTCTTTAAATAACCGTGACGAGTTAACTCGTCACGCGTGTTGGAGAGGCATTTTTCATCGGCGATGATTAAACATAAGTTAACTCGTTATTCCGGTTAATGGGTCGAAGAAATAAGAAAAAAAAAATGAACTAATTACTTCGTATCTTGAGGACGAGCACTTGCTGATTCTTCGCGAGAAGCGCGACTTCCTGATGGACGGCGTCCTCCACCGGGTACCCGTTCACCCTTATGATCTGATCCCCGACCTGCAAACGAAAAAATAGAACAGACGAAGTGAAACTAATGGGAAAACACGCGAGCGACGAAATGGAGCAGAAACCGAGCCGTCCGTTCGCAATTAGAAAATCGATTCATATCGCCTAACAGGCGTTACGCGAATTACGTACGATGGCGGCGCGAGTTATGGCCGCGTCGGATTTGGAATTTACCCTTAATCCATTTCTGTGAGCCTCGCTTCCTGGTTGCACGTCGCTCACGTAGAATCCAGCCGCGTACTCTCTGCCACCGCGAAGAGAGAAGCCGAATCCGGACGCTCCTCGTCGTCTCAGCCTCACATTCCTGGTCACACCGATGACGGCCATCCTGCCGCCTCCAGTTGGGTTCCCAGGACCTCCACCGGTCGATGGAAGCATACCAGCACTGGCTGTGCCGGATGCACCACCCGACCTGCGAAAATTACACGTGTAAATTCGAATCCGGGACACGAGCCTTTTCTATCAGCGTCGCTCCGCGTCGCATTTAATCGCGCGATAATTAAGCGTCGCACTCGAGAAAACGGGGAAAAGAAAAAAGGGAAAAATCAGTGGCTCGTACGGATCGAATCATCGGTACATACGCGATCGCGTCGTTACGCGTATTGTTCGGCGAATCGTATTAACAGCCCAGGCGGAAAGTGGAGCGCGATTCATTTGGCCGAATGAATTCGCGAGCACACGCGTACTCGCGATATAATTTTATCCGGGATTTAACCGCGTTAACGAGCCTCCTCTTTTCGTTACGTAAACCAAGCAACGCGACTTTCTCGGTATTATTCCCGTGCGTTCGCCGAGCGAAATCGCGCGAGACCGCTCGCGGTCTCTCTAATCACACGCAGACGTAACGATCGCTTTTCGCGATCGTCGTGGTCTCGCTTTCCGGTAAACTCCATGAGAACCTTCGATTTCCCCGCAGTCGGATATACTTGGTACACGGGGAGTGTCGGCCACGTATCTGCGGCGGGACCGTCGCGCGTCTGGCATGCCTTATGGGGGTGGCGGTGATGGCCGCGGTTAAACGCTTTCCATTGATTTCCGCCTGCTATGGATTTTACTGCTGCTCGGGTAATTACCGCCGGTAATTGCGTATCCTACATGTTTATGCTTGCCTGCGCGTCTCCGTGGAATTTAACGATTGCGCAAGGGGAATCTTGAAGTTGATCGACGAGATTGTCTTTGGCATTCGAGGCTGGCCGAACGATCATGAAAGTATTATATTACGCGCTTTGCCATTCCAGTTTTCCTGGTAGATACAGCACTCTATACCGGGTAACGAGCGAGTAACCGGCAACCTGTACCGCGTTGGTTTTTCGAATATTTTTGAATATTTCAAGTTCTAAGAACTGTCTATATTATTCCTGTACTGTTCGGCAGAGTACGCGGTTAAAATTCGCGTACATTAATGTACGAAGCGAGGAAACGACCGCCATCGTATCGCGTCGTATCGTGTGTGCCGGATGTTTAATTAAACCCCGGGTTTGAAACGTTCGCGTGGTTGGAGAATTTTCATTTGCCTCGGGAAAATGGACGAGCGAGAAAGAATTGCAGCGAGGAAGGAGAGACGACAGAGGGGTAAGGCGAGGAAAACGGTCGGAAAATTCGTGCACGGGCTGGATAGAGGAATTACGGTAATTCCGTGTCAACGACGCGGCTCACCTTCGCGAATAATTGTCTGGCAAAAATGGCGGTTTGAGTTCGCGGCCGGAGCCCGGCTGGAAACAATCTTTGTTCGGATCTCGCGGTCTTTTTCCGCAGTGCGCTGGGAAATTAATGACCACACCTGGCGCTCCATTGGCCTGCGCGATCGCGGAGGAAGGAACGGCGAAGCGCGGAGGAGTCGAGGCAAATTCCACTGCAGACGACGAAAAAGACGAAAGATAGAAAGAGCGGCGGGGCAGGAGAGCGGATGAAACAAGGAGAGAAAGACACTTTATGCTCCCTAATGACGCCGGGAATCCGTCTTGTCTCGGACATTGAAAAGATTACGCGCAGTATGAAGGGCCGTCGTAGGTTGTCGGGTGCCGTGGAACACGAGGATGACACCAGGTAAATGACAGTCATTAGAAAGAACGAGACACTAGTTTAAAACTACTCCGCCTAGCCGGAGGCCCTCCGACTCGTCTTCTTCCATCTGTCCTTCTTGCACCGGTTCCCTTCTTGCTTCTTCCTCTTCCACTGGCAGAACGTTACCGAAGGCAAAAGGGAATTCCATCGTCTGCTCTTTCCTACGAACCTTCGGGGCTTTCGCTTTCTTTTTCTCCTTTCTCTCTTCTCTTTCTCCTTTTTCTCCGGCTTTTTTCTTCCTCTTCTTCTTCAAAGGATATCATTTCGGCGAGCCCGAGCTGAACCGTTTCCACGAGCGAGCGAGCGAGGGACGACGAAGGCCAGAAACTTTCTATTCGTGGCAATTTACCCGCGACTATTTACGACGCGATTACCATTTTACCTCGGCAACGGGTGCACCGCGCATTCGCAATTATCGGAAAATTACAAATTTCCTTATCGGACGGTAATAAGCGGCGTGCGTGTACCGAGGCAACGAAACGTCCGCGACTCGCTGATACCCGACGCGCTCGTTCGGCTTCGATCCTGAAAGACCAGTCGGCGACCGATCGGCGATCCGCTAGATAAGGGAAAAGTACTACAAAGAAGAGTGCTCTCCCTCGGGCGACGAGGTGAAATACCCGTCGACGACACCTACGGAGATCCCCGAGATTCCTCGGCCCGGGGATCACTGACACGAAAGGTACTCGTTACGAGCTGTTAACGCATTTTTAACCGGTACCCCGCGACGTTCTTAAGGAAGTCGCAGGCTGCTTTATTAAAGTCCCGACTCTTTCAGACGTGTCGGAAAACAGTCACGGTGCCGTAGGTTTTCAACGACTTCACCGATGCTTGCACCACTTCTCGACAGCACGGTAAACGCGGCGCTCGGTGCCCTCGTTCGCGAGCATCTCTTAAAAATCCGTTCACCTGACGATCCCTCCAACCCTTCCTGCGCTTTTCTTCCGCTGCTTCGTATTTCTATCTCGCGGCGAAGACGCCGTGAACATGCTAAGTCGACCTGAAAAGGATCGAGTGGCACAAAGCTTGCTCGATAGCCGTGACCCGTGAAACGTACCGGGTATACGCGAGCCGAGTATGCTCTATCGAGTAGTCGACGAGGTCAGAGGAAGAAGAGCGAAAAAAGAGCCCGTGGTCGTAGAGATTCTATCTGCAAAGTCGCTGCGCCGCGTTAACGATCTATCGGATGATTCCGCGTCTAAAAATAAGTCGAGAGTTAGCTCGGATCGTTTGCTAGTCTTACAGCAACTTGGTTGTTCATAGTGTTGTATATTCGCTTGGATATTCGAACATAGCGGACACCCCGTACATCGATAAGTCGCGTGGTTGTCTGGATAACGAGGATCGAGCATGGCGGGTCGATCCGGGAAGGAAACCGAGGTCGTTGAAAAGTTTTCAAGATCGCGGAGCGCGCGATCTCTTATGCAATCTCGAGGACAATGGACTCGCGTGGATTCTCGAGGAGGTTCGCGACGAGAGCCAGGTCATCGATATAGCTCGGGCATACCGTTATTGTCGTCGATATCGCTGCTTAACGATCCAGCCACGAAAGTGTTACGACTGTCACGAACTTTCCTCCACGCCTTCCTCCACGCGCTAATACTGGTAGCCGCTTCTGTCTGAAAGGCCGGGAGCAGCTCGTCAAAGAGCTCGCGTGCACGGCCATTACCGCGCGGTTATTCACGTCCAATCCCACATTCTGTTCACATTTTATGCTAATCATTTCCCTAGCGACGAGGTTAACGCAGGAGGACGAGCACGAGGAAGAGGTTACTCGGCCCGTCGAGGTTAACGCGCCGTTCCGAGCACCGTCTGCTTTTGGAGGGAAAGCAGAGAACGTTGTACAATAAGCGTTACGCCTCTCGAGCAAATTATTTCGTTTCTTAACATCCAACGCGGTTGCGACAACGCGATCCCGAATATGAGGCAACCGGGCAATTTCGATGGTCTCGCGAAACTTTCGCGATTCGCGCGAGTTCCACCGTACCGATCAACGCGGAAAATCGTTCCCTTTGTCGCCGGGTTACACCTGTATCGGTACGATCGCTATGCTGGAGGCGTGCCACTCGAACCGAATGACCGTGGAACACGGGGAAAACGAAGTAACAGGACCCTCGAATCATAGGCCGCGAGGTTCCCCATTGACGTCGCGCGATAATCGCGAAGGGATCGCGAAGAGATCGCGATGGGATCGCGATGGGATCGCGGACTGAGGGCAAAGTTGGTTGGACGACGAGAGAAAGCAACGAGGACGCGGACTCGAGTGGTTGGAAAGGGAAGAGGAAAAAAGACGAGGCGTCGGCAGAGCCATGGTCTGCTCGTCCCGGCCGCGAGCAGACTTCATTGTTCGCGTATCTCCGGCGAGGACGCGGCGCGTGCAACCGATGCGATCGAACACGATGCGCGCGGTTATCGACTCGCGTTCACGGAACGCTTCCACTCCTTTTTTTTCCTCTTTCTCCTGATCCGTGACACGAGTTTCTCGCATAATTGCGCGAGCTCACGCTTTCGCGCTGCGCCGTGCACCAGGCTCCAAGGGATGCCCGGAACGTCCAGCGCGCGAACAATGCAGAGAAAGTTGATGCAAGCTGCAGGGAACACGGAAAGACACGCCCTGACGAGTATTCTCGTCCTTTCGAGTCCCGTTCCTCGACTAGATAGCGAGCGGAGGATGCCTGGTCACGATCCTCGATACTTTCCTTTTTACACCGCGTTTCGTGGGGATCGTGGAAAACCTGATCGCGAGATCACCGTGAAGATCGATCGGGCAAGGCTCGGGTCGGGATCGGATGTTAATTTTAACGAGTTTGCTTTGTTCGATCAAGTGGGATCGTCCTGTCTACCAGACCACGATGCTGCAGAAGCATGCTCGATGATGCGTACGGTGTTTTAGAAATACGCGTGGATTTTGATTCTTTATTAAGGGGTATTTGATAAATCCGATAAAAATAGGTGGATTGTAAATGACAAATATTAGTTTTAAGTATTTGATAGTTTCCCAGAAGTTAACGAAAACTTTTTGGTATTGTTCATAGGAATATGCCCATACCATCGAGACTGAAAGCGTGATGGCCATTTTCTCTAAGGCAGTTGTCATCAAGGCAAGGTGTCACAAGACTGCCACAGGTTTTACACGACGATAATTACTTAATTTGTAGAATAGATTCCGATTACTCTAATTTTATTTCTAATCTGTAATACCCATTAGATGATTCTCTCTCTCTAAGAGCTTGCTTTACAAATTACACGAAGCATAAATTTATAGCAAAAATGAAAAAGTTGAGAAATTCTTGGGTATTATAGAAGAAAAGTAATTATTAAGGAAATCGGCAATGATCGTGACTTTCC